AGGCCATCAGAGAAATCTAATATCATCCATTTCTATAAGCATTTGTGGTATATAATTATGCATTTTTAGATTCTGTCTGCCAAGGATATAAATAAAAACTATTCTATTATATATGTATTTGTAAGGTGACAGACTCCATGGATGAAAACCTGACCCCAACGACAACACCAAACTCAAGGCTTCCCCCGCTATTTCTTTCTTTCTCACATTTTTTTTCGTTGTTCTCTCGCATGCAAGAAATCTCAATAACGAACTTCACATACTACTACCATCCCATCCCAGAAAAGCAASTAGGCCAAAGCAGAAAGACAGTAAACAAACAAAAAAACAAACAAACCAAAACACAAGCAGATGATGTGCTGCCCCAAAAAACAGATTCCTTATACAACGCAAAAGCTTCTGGGAGATATTGCTCCGCCTCTGGAGATTTAAACTGTTTGTTAGATCAGTCGTCACCACAAAAGGAGATGGGATTATTAATGTAAGAACAAAAGTGCCCCTTGTGACTGGGGCCCCAGTACCAGCCTGCCTGCTCGCCTGACAATGGCATTAAACACAGTGCCTCCCTGGACTCAGCTGCGTGCCCTGCCTGACACCACCACCCTGGGCAGCCACAGGGTCACAGACTTCTCCTGCTTTGTCACCACAGGCTACAGAATCAGTGAGACCGTAAACCCCTCCCTGCAGGGCTGTTTCTGCTTATCTCCCACTCTCTGAAGTACTACACAGTGTTTGGAGCATCTCTTGAGGGCAGTATGCACTGTATAACATTCCTTGATGATGGCTTAAATCAGTGTACCAGATATTTAATTACTTCCAGCAACTTCTCATTATATGTATAAATATATAGAGATATAAAGGCTTGCCTTCCATCTTAAAAGTTGGYCCACATCACATCCCCAAAGTAGAGATGTTTAGATACAGTATTTAGAGTTAACCAGTTACGAAGATCTGAGCTAGCAACTGTATCCATCATATTAACATATGAAACACTGCCTGGGACTCTTTTGAGGATGGAACATTTCAGTTCCATTCTCTTTCCTCATCACAGATCTTTCCCTTTCATTTACTTCTCAAGCCCATTATAACCTTCTCTCCTGTATGTTTAGTTTTAGTGAGTGGTCTGCATGAATTGCATGTTGGCAGGGGAAACACCCAAGCCCAAAGGAAAAACAATTTGTATTTGTGGCAGCTTAGGTAACATATAAGGAAAGAGGGGAAAAGACATTCATTTCTTTTTCTTTAGAAAGGGAAAAGACTTACAAGATGTTAGAAAATGAAAGTCAGAGATGACCCAATTGAATGAAAAAAAAAAAAAAAAAAAAAAAAAAAAAAAAAAAGGAAGAAATATTTAGCTTTTACAAGAATTGCCCCATTAGTTTCTCTCCTTAGTTTTGTCCTCTATTTTTTTAGGCATTTTGAAAGCACAACTCTCTTTTCACATAACAGCCCAACTTAAACACGGATCCTCTAAGGTAGGGAAGAGAGAAACACCTAGAATGAGTTTAAATTTCCTTCCATCAAAACATTGATCAGCTGCCAGCCATGAAGGTCGTTAGCAGGTCCCTGACTACTGTAAACATTTGTAACCAGCAAGTCAACTCTCATTTCCCTCCACTGCTTTGAAGAAACAGGGGTTCTCATCACATCTAACATTTCATGATCACTTTGAACCCATCTGTAGCACTTTAGTGATCACTGAACAGCTTTAGAAGGAAAAAAACAGCTGAACTGCAGATACTTTCATTTTCTTGTTGCTTCCAAATTAGCAAAATAGAGCCCACTGATCTGTAATGTGGAGGATTCCCTTGCTTTCCCCATCATTTCTGAATGCCTAATTCCCTTCTTTACTTATCTCCCTACCTCCCAAAGAAATAAAATGAAAGGAAAAAAACCCCTATGTGCTAGCAAGTGGCCACCTCCCAGAAGGGTGGAGCTACAGCCAGGTGAGCTGTACTGCAGTCCCTGGGAACTGCATGTTGTTGGCTACATCTACCGAATATCTGAACTAAAGAGGGCTGGAGTGGGCTACTCCTTAGGCAGCTGTTCTGATAAAAACTCTGTATAGCAGCATTCATCAACTTTTTTTTAAGTATCTATCTGAAGACCATTTTATGCTGCACTGCAACACAGGCTTTCACTAAGAACTATCTAAAAACAATTTGGGGCTCTCAAAATTCTTTTTTGTCCCTTCTGTTCCCTTCCTTTTGTGTGCATGGATTTGTTTAACTTGGAAGAAAGGAGACAAGGAGGGCTGTTTCAAATTTTGCAAGTGTTGATCAAATACCTTCTGATGTATTGACCATAACTGAACCAGCAATAAACTAGATCAATGTGTCTTGTTTTGATCAAGAGCAGGAGATGCAGTCACAAACTAAGGCAGTCCCTAGCTGCAAACACAAAGACCTTAGTGACTTCCACAAAAATCAAAGCAATGTCTGTGCAAAAGAACAGGAACTAAAAATGTACACAACATGACAAATCAGTGAAGTGTCCAAAGGCCTCTTCCACACTGCCACAGTGGAATAAAGAAGCCAAGGCTGTCTTTAGACTGCCTTATTGTGACACTCTGGTCTAAAAATGTTTTGGGCTATTGTAAAATTATACTCAGTTATTCATAGCCTTGAAACAGCTGCTCGGCAAGCAGAGAGCTCCAGGTAGATGTTTTCTTTACAGTACTGTGAATAGAGCTATTACATTGCTCCCATACCACCTAAGAAACCTGCTTCCTTCAAGACTGACTGCAGCTTGTCACCCTATAAGCTTCTGGCTGCTTCATAGCATCTCAGTGAAAAAAAAAAAAAAAAAAAGAGCAGCAGGAGAAGCAAGTCCTGGTTCCATTTGTGATGTGGGACAGGGGACAATGTTCACTTACTGTGTATCCTTTGCAGAAGGGCTAGAAGAATTAGTTATGGTTGGTGTGGTTTGCTAAATTCTGATTATTCATGTCCTCTGAAGGTTACATGCAAACTAATTGCCAGTGTTGATCCCTTAGTATGAACTGAAATCAATTAGGAAGGCAGCTGACCTTATTATGGCAATTAACCGCAAATGGCATTTAGTCTCTCTACTCTATTGCCAAGCTTTTTATTCTGGCTTTATGGGCTGGATGTTTTCTGGCTTGGATGTTATGGGTTTTTTTTTTTTTTTTTCCGCTCTATTGCACCACTCTTAACCCACCCTGATTTTCCAGGACATAATATAACTTCCATCACATAGAATCTTCCCTTATTTAGTGACACACTTTCCTGGAGAACACTTGGCTTTCCTTACAGGAATTTCTGTATACTGAGCAATCCTGGAAATYGGACAAAGTTCCTATGGAAAGGTGGTTCCTTGCTGTCAAGCAAAGGATGCTGAATTGCTCTCTTGGAAAGATGCTTGATTGTGGGGGTGAGAGAGGGTGTGGGAAGGAGAGAAGGGTAAAATTGTCTTTGCTGTACTTGGCCAGACGGTTCAGGTCACTAGGAATCTAGAGCGCCCGCGCTGCAGTTGGTGCTGAGGGGTGCATGTGTGATTAAGACTGAGTTGCTCTGGAGAAAAATGCATGGGGGTCTATGTGAAGGAGATTTCTGGGATATGACAGTGGACACGTTTAGCAGTCACTAGGCATAATTCCATTAGCAACAGGCCGAGCCCGCAGGAGCCCCAGTGTATGCCAACAACATGACCAACAAAGTGGTGGCCCTGATGCTGCATGCAGAGACTGGGCACCTAGAATCACTGTTTCCTTATGGGCWATTGCATGTGCCAGAGAAGAAACTGGTCACTTTGAGGGATGTTACTAATCAAGAATGAAATAGTCAATTTCCTAGAAAACTTCCCAGATGTAAAATGCTAGTGTTTAAAAGTTCTGGGGAATAAACATGTCCCTTTTCAGTGCATATCCATAGATAGCAAGGTAAGTGGAGCTGTGAGCAAAACATCACAGTTCCTTTTGGGCAACAGAATCTACAGTTTGGGGGTTGTATTGTTTTATATCAGCTGTCTGTGAGGTTCTAAGGCTTGGGAACCTCTTAAGATATTGCCAGAACATAGGGGCAGGATCTTGCTCCTGAAAGCACCTGCAGGAACCTTAGTGTTCACTTCAGCAGAAGCAGGAATGAGCTTGGCCTCTGTCATCTAATTCATCATTGTCCTGTCACTTTGTTCACTCATATACCTCAGAGCAAAGCACCCACCATCCTAATTCAATGACATTTTACAGTTTCATTGTGCTCATGTAAATACTGCTGTAGAGTGTGYAGCCATAGAGAACTAAGTCACACAACTTTATAGCACTTTGGATCCCCTATAGTGAGAAACGATGGGAAGAAAACATTTTACACTATTTTGTCTCTGATTACTGGCAGCACAAGCACTCTAACAGAACAGAAAGAGCACTGTAAATAATGAGGCRTTAAGAATAGCTAGATTTCATGCACGATTTGAATGCACAAGCTCTTTCTAACAGACTAAACTACCAAAGGGTTCTAAAAGGCACTAAGGAAGAAGATGGTGGCACTAAGTTTTCTTCCAATTGTTGGTCATTCTAGGAGAATAAAGGATAGAATAAGAAAGGAGGGAGCAAAACTACAGCATAAAAATAAAAAAAAAATCACTCGGCTATCATTTCCAATAACCTTATTTCCTAACTTACAAGAAATGCCTCCATTTTGCACTACAGTTATAATCAAAGCCAAGTTACTGTGCCGGCCCTCAGTCTGAATGACGCATGAGTAACACTTGTATACAAGTGTTGGATGCAAGTTTTCTTCCCTTTGCTAAAACCCTGATGGAGTAAAGAGAATAGAATGAGAGCAGCTTACATTTTTGATGCCATTAGAAGATATCTTGTGTTCAAATATACCTAAATAAGTTAATTTAAATGGGGGACTGAAAGACCCTGATTATTATAACTTTCTAGAGCTCTAAATTGAAAAGCATCTCGCAAGAGGTGGAAGAATCTTCTTGACTCATGAATGAAGATAACAACATACAAGCTGAAGAGAACAACTAACCTGGATGATCTTTGTGGATACTAATTACTCTTCTCTCTCTGTTGGGGTCTTCTGTGTTAAGTTCAGCTCCTCACCATGAAGGAAGAGCCCGCTTCACCCACAGCTCTTGTGGCAGCAGCGATGGCCTTTGGGAAAAACAATTGCAAATAAATAATCAGTTTAGCTTTCCATCAGTATAGAAGGTATCTTCAATGTTTCAGTGGCTTTCAAAAGAAAACACAGAAGAAATCTGCACGGAGGCTTCTATATTKCCTCTACTACTTCAACACAGGGTGTTTGGATGGAATCACTTTGTCTYGAACCACAGTGATTCTAAGTACATGCTTGACAGTAAGCATGAGAGAAATCCTCTATTTGCAGTGGGTAGTATTTTTGCATCTAAAGTCTAGAAAACACATAAGTGCTTTTTTATTGATACAGTCTACAGTGTACTCAACACACTGTAGAATCAAACCTATTATGGTTAATTCACACATATCATTTTATCTTAAATATTCATTTCACCTGCATCATAGACAAACTGTTGATCATGTACTTTATCCATTAATTCTGAGTCCAGCAAAATGACCGTYAGTGATCATGAATGGGGGAAAATAAATAATTCTGCATGGGATTGACATATACACAAATCTTGTTCAGTTAACACAGAACAATTGGTTCTGGCTTCTTTGTAGGGACTGTTCTAGAGAGATGACTTCCAGGATTTAAGAGAGGAGATCTGTTATAAATTATTTACTTCTATCAGTCAGCTAATTTTCTTGTTGGTTTTATTTTTCCATTACTTTTATTAAAGCCAAATGACTGTGCTCTGGGACATTCCACAGATGCTGCTGTACTGTCATTTTAGGAAATACCATTAAAGCRATCTTCTCTTTGTTTGCTTCTCATGTAATTTCACAAAACTGTTTTAAGAAAAACATCATTAAAATTGTAGGAGTCAGTTCATCCTGGATGCCTTAAAATTAATGGCAATTGTATTCTTTTGGGGACAACAGAAACATAGAATATCATTTTCACTTCATCACCTCCATTTTCTGCTGCAGTAACAATGTGATTTTAACAATTGTCTATCAACATAAGGGAAATTCATACCTATTTTTTTTCACATGAGAATTTGATATTAGTGAAAGGTATAGCATTAGGAATGTTAGAGAGTGAAGTTCTCTGCTCAGCTTCAAATTATATAGAGCACAGGAAGCCATACTAGCCCCACTAAACCTCTCACCACTATTTCTGACTTCTGACCTGGAACAACCTTCTCAAATCGGCTGTGGTACAACACAATCCATTTAGGATGTGGCTCCTATGATCTCTGTTTCCTCCTCTACTGCCAGCTMTTATTGCAATTCTTGAGATGTTTTGGCTCAGTCCTAAGAAAAATCTTATCAAGATATCACAGAATCACAGAATCGTTGAGGTCAGAAGGGATCTTTAGGGTTGACTTAGTCCAGCCTCCATGCTCAGAGTAGGGGCAACTATAACTAACATTGCTCAGGGCCAGGTCCAGTGAAATTCTGGGTACCTCTAAGGATGGAGATCCCACAAACCTCTCTAATTAACCTGTTCAAGTGTTTGACCACCTACACAAAGAGAAAGCTTTCTTCCACATATTGAAAAGAAATTTCCTGGATTTCAGCTTGTGCCCTTTGCTCCTTGTCCTTTCAGCAGTCACTGCTGAGAAGGCTCTGGTTCTGTCTTTATCCCCAGTCCCATCAGGTACATACATATTGATAAGATCTTCCGCAGCCTCTTGTTCCCCAGGCCCAATAGCTCTCGCTCTCACAATCTCTCCTCATATGACATATGACCTAGTCCCTTAATCATGTTTGACCCTTTGCTGCACTTGCTCCAGTGTGACAGTCATCAATTGCCATACATCAATCCTGTGCTTTAGACAGCTCCTGGATTGCTTGTGTCCTCTCTGTGTCCTCTCTCCCTTTCGGCAGACGTCAGGATGGTTGCTGGAGCAGCCTGCAAACATAAGGCTTCTCCCAGTTTTCAGAAGAAGGTCCCGCCTACTTCTTCTCATCAAGAAGTCTGATCTCACCTACATCTGACCAAGCAGTCTTTCTCCCCAATCCACTAGAATGTTGCCCTTGCTGTTCTGCCTGGTAATGCTGACATCCAGCTCTCAACTGGTTATCATCAATYCCTGTGATGATACCCAGTACACTGGGTACTGTCAGGCTGATGCTAACACACAAGAGAACCAACATCACATCAACATCAGGTTTGTCCTTTGCAGCAGCTTGTCTTTCCTATGCATTGCAGGGAGCACTTAAAAATTCAGTGATATCCCCTTTGGAGAGGGTTTATGTTCATAGCACAGTTCAAGGTCAACTTAAATCAATCAGCTTTCCTGTAGGCTTCACAGTTCCTTCTGAATTTGCTGATGTTGCTATTTCTTTCCCAGCTATTAGGACACATTTTAAGACTTCTGATCTCTGCCTTCACAGAAAGTGCTTTCAGATAAACCCTTCTATCTGATTAACCCTTGCATGATTCTCTTTACCATAGGGATTACCATCATTCCCTATATTACCACTTTATGATTCAATCTGTCCTTATATTCTCTGGTCCTATGCTTAGTCATGCCAATCACACAGCTTTATATCTTCTCATCCTTGACTCTGGACTCAGAGACACTTGCAACTGTAAAAATTTTTCATCTTGGCCAACTAAAATTGGATGTGAACAGTGACCACATCTCTTTTCTTCCACATAGAGTAACCGTGAAATGTTTGATTCTGCTTCCACGTTTGTATCTGTCAGTGTCACAGAATCTCACTATTCAGCCATATATTCCTTTTATGTTTTTTAATCCTATCCCATGCACATTCAATTATGTCGCTATGTGGCTAGAAACACTTCACATTTAGGTATCCTATAACTAACTCTTGTCCTGAGTACTGATATTGTTACCTAATGACTGATATATTCCAAAAAAGGAAAAGCAATGCAGAAATTAATAAACATGTGAATTAACAAAATGAAGTGGGACAAATACAAATCTTTGGTAATATCAAATATGTATACATCTTCTTTACTGAGAAAAAAATGAGTAACTTACTCGTGGTTAAACACTTAGAAATTACATAGTCATCTCAAACACACAGAAATAAAAACTTTACAGCACTTTACAGCTGTTTTCATTCATTCATTCACTCACTCACTCTTCCTCTGTCTCACAAGCCTATAAAATCCACTCCCCATTTTAACAGAGAGTTAAAATGCTCTGTTTAGATTTTCAGCCAGTGAAACAGCCACTGGTATTTCTATTAATTAATCTGGATGACTGGAAAATACGCTAACTTTCCTTTTTTCATGAGTCACTCAATACATAATGCAACATTTCGTTTGAGACCAAAACTCTGTAAAAAGATTTAATGCAAGGGATAGAACACTTAATACCTAGATTTTCTTATCCACACATTCTCTTGACTCCTTGATGCTGCTGAAAAAAAAAAAAAAAAGAAAAAAGAAAAAAGGATAACTTTCAAAAGTACAAAAAGAATTTGCTCTGAAAAATGTGTTGGCATTTGTTTGTCCTCAAGTGAATTGTGTAGGAAATTTGAGAAGTAATGATTCTAGGTGTAACACTGTGAGGGAAAACTGGGCAGTGAAATGGAGCCATGGAGTAACTGCGCTGCACTCCCAGTATCTTTTGTGAAGAGCATGTGTAGTCAAGTTGTCTCTGCTCCTCACAAGGAAGGAAACCTAGTGCCTGTCATTCTCATACTGCAGCTTAGTTCTTTCTCTTGCCTTATTTTTCACTAAGTCAAATGGGGCCAATAATTAATGYTCTTTGATGTCTTTAGGCAGTTCTTGTTGTGTAGATGGGAACACACACCACCTTCTCTCTGTGTAGTTATACTTTTTCATTGTGCTGCACTTTCTGTATTTACCAGGCCTGGCTTTCCTTTGTTACGGAAACATTTGTATGAAAACAATAATTCAGTTCTTTATTTTTAATTTCTCCATCTTCTTTTTTTTTGTTCTTGAAGTCAGAGTGCTTTGTTGCTCTGCATCACCCCTTCTTCCTGATGACACAGGGAAACAGTGCTGAGACGGCTCAGTTCAGTTCACTTTAGGTAATAGGAACAACAAGGTTTATTCATGAAAAAGATTTGAAATAAAGTCTCAGATTTGATCATTTCCAGCCACTCCCTGAATGCCCAGATCCAATGTATCCCAGGAGTTCCACAGAGCTGCTGAGTCTTGCATAAAAGCAGCACATGATGGAAGAAACAGTGACAGTGGATAATCTTATAAAGTTTCCAACTTTAACAATGACCAAAACCTTTCAGATAAATGTAGATTGCAACATTCTTATCTTTTGATATTACAAAAAAAAAAAAGGAATACTTCTGAGCAAGCTTTTGCTATGGGCACATTATACTTAGTTCTTCATACAAGGTCTGCCTCTTTGGATTGTCTTCGCTAACTTTAACTTTTTCCACATACCACAACAGTCATAGGAATATAAGAACCTTAAATTAAGATGTTTTTTGTTGCCACAACCAAATCGTTAAGCTGATCCTCCATCTTATCCTCCCCTTCCATGCCAGTAGAACACTGTCACTAGTCTCTTCCCATCTGCTGCAACAAAAAAGTTGACTTTGGATGGCCAGTCTGCTCCCCAAAACTGTTCCTAGAATACAAGTATATTCTGGAATGTTTCTTCTTTCAGTTCTTGCTCCTGGTATGATTCTCAGAAAACAGTTGTACTGTAAATCTAGATACTATTTCACCACTTAATTCTAGTCATGGTTTTCTTCTGGTTGGAAAGCCTCTTCCTTCAACGAAACTGCTCCCATTTCATCCCATATGTCTAATACCTTATTTGGTCTTCCATTTATTCAGTCCTCCAAGTCGTGTCTGATAAATGAATGTTCAGGGCTGGCGAAAAGGCACRAAGAGCATTCCCCACATACTCCTGCATCGCTTCAGAGAAGCAAGTGAACGGGAAATGGAAAAAATCCTGGCACCAGGTCCCCATTTCCTAACGCAACATCATTTAACAGAGCCAGGATTTAACATCTGACAAGTAGAAGCAATGGGCATCCTCTGAGCAGCCCTCATTCATCACAAAGGTATTTGTACTTGCCTCACTTGACACTGGGGC